CAGCCCGAAGGTGAGGTTGAGCAGCCGGAGGAGGAGGAGGAAGTGCCGGAAGGGGTCCGACGCTTCTACCGCCACAGCAAGGTGCGAGTGAGCTTTACCTACGCCCAGAACTACCACTTCAAGCTGAAGAAGACCACGGAAGTGGGCGGTCGCAGGGTGTTCATCTTGAAGTCCGTCTCGGGACAGATGACACACCTGTGGGTGGAAGTCCTGAGCAGCCGGGTCGTCCAGCTTTTTTTGAGGCCCACCCTGCAAGGGGTCCGGGTGACGGCCAGCACCCTGGCCGGGCGACAGCTGGCGGAAGCCAGGCTTCCACCAAGCTCGACGCTCAAGAGCGCCACGGCTACTTTGCTGGAAAGCATGGACGTGTCGAGTGCGGAAGCCTCCTTCGTGAAGTTTGTGCTTGGCTCCGAGGCTGCGGTGATGGACCGCCCTTTGCGCAGCTTGAGCACAGTCATCAACGACTTGCGGAAGCGTCGTTGATGACTTTACGAAGGGGGTTTTTTAAGCTGTCAGGAATGACATGCATGGACTATAGATATGTTCTATAGTACGAGTTTGTTTTGACAAGGTCGTGCAAACTCTAAATATAGTCCATGCACAATCCTGGCAGCAGGCATGCTGGAAGGCCCGAAGAGGCTATAGCTGGCAGCAGGCATGCTGGAAAGCCCTGAAAGGGCAGCATGCCTTTGCCCAGTCGCGAATTTGTTTGGCAGCAACAGGAATGCCCAGAAGAGGCTACCGCACAGGACGGCAGAGAACTTTGAAAAAAAAAAAAAAGAGGCCTCCAACTGTTTCTGTGTGCATGGAACTGCTGCTTCAGCTATACGTGCAGAGGTTGCCACCACCGATGTTGCTCACACGTCTCATGTCAGTTCACTTGTGCGCATGGCGTTGCATCAACCGCTGCAGCGCAGTGAAATCAAGCTTGCAGACATAGCCTGGAGGTCCGATGACAGATGCTTCAAAAACTATAAACAGAAATGCTTTTTAGCAAGTTCTTCAAGAAAGCATTTTTGAGACACATCTGCAATTTTTAGTGTAAGTCCCTGTTTACAGATATATAGGAATTCACCATGTCGAAGCGGAAGCTGCCGGAAAGCGAGACAACCGAGAGGGTTGCTCGCCACGCAGCCAGACGAGATGCTCCGCCGTCTGCCGTTCGCGACCTCGCTGGGGAGCAGGTGGACCCCAGAACAAGGAGGAAAGCGGAGAAGGCCGCCGTGGATGCTCTCTACGACTACGTGGAGATTCCGCGAGCTGCGGAAGCGGCGGGTGTTGCTGCGGAAGCGGCGGGCGGCGCGGGAGCGGCTGCCGCGGGAGCGGCTGCTGCGGGAGCTTCTGCCACGGGAGCGGCTGCTGCGGGAGCTTCTGCCACGGGAGCGGCTGCGGAAGCAGAGCCGCTGAGGTACCCCGTCCTCAACGTCTTCAATGCCTGGGAAGCTTTGGCGCGGGAGTCGCCAGATTTCCAGCGTCTACTCCAGGCGAAGGCGGCAGGCGGAAGCCTCAGGCTCCGGTTTTCTGTTTATGGTGACGAGGTGACGCCCGGCAACCCGTTGGCGCCGGACAACCGGCAAAGGGCGTATTGCTTTTACATCAGCGCACTCGAGTTCGAGGAGTTCCTCCTGTCCGAGATGTGCTGGTTCGTGCTCACCGTTGTGCCCACTGTCACCATGAAAACCGTCAAGGCAGGATTGTCTGGCTTTGTACGATGTTTGTACCGCCACCTGCGATATCTGCAGCTGGGTGCCAATATCCAGCTCGGCGGAAGTCAGCTCTTCGTGCATGGTGCTGTTTCGCATTGCTTGTATGATGCAGCGGCTTTGCATGGAGTGCTGGGAAGCACCGGACAGTCAGGAAACAAGCCTTGCTTCCGCTGCGGCAACGTTTACAGTCGCTTCAAGAAGTTGCCGCCAGACGCTGACCGCCAAGGCCTGCGAACTTTGAACGCCACGGAAAATCAGCTTCGCACTATGACAAATGAGCACATCTTCGAGGTGGTGGACCATGTCCTGGCGGCATCCCGAACCCAGCCGTCACTTTTCTCGTAAATGATATTTCGCAGACATGTGTTGTTTTTTGCAGGGTTTTCCAAACAATGGCAACTGCTTATATATATATAGGTGTATATATACATTAAATACATAGAGGCATTAACACGTTTTTGGGCTACGTGTGTTTGCCCACGGTCTTCGTCAGGAAAACCAAAGTCAAGCAACTTGTCACAGACGTTGGCTGGAATGCTCTGGAAGGAAGCTTGCTCACGGACGATGCTACTCGGCGCGAAGTGCCACCTTTGACGCACTACTTCGATCCCATGCATGTCTTCTTCGTGCAGGGACAGTTTTCCAGGCATGTCGGCTTTCTTTTGAAGGCATTGCAGAAGATGGGCTGGACCCCTGACCGCATAGCCGAAGCCTGCACAGATGATTCCATCAAGCACCGAAGAAGCACTCGCAAGGTCGGCCGGGCGCAATTTGCTCGCGAGCTGGGAGACAAATATTTCACTGAAGATGGAACTTGGAAAGTCTCCGCGTCCAGCCAGCTTGGAGCTGCTCCGTTGCTTCACTTCCTCATTCGTTTCATAGTCTTTCCAACCGTAACTTGTCCTGACATGAAGAAGGAATTGCAGGCGTTTCTCCTTCTCGGCTCCGTCCTATCTTTGTGGATGCAGATCAAGTTCACTCCTTACGGTGAGACTGTGCGGAAGCACGCTGAATCTGCTGAAGCTCTGCGGAATCATGCGGAAGCATTGGCATGCCGTTTCCAGAACGCCATCAACGCCTACATTGCTGCTTTTCATGAGGTCTACGGCTTGGAGAAGATGAGGCCAAAAACACATTACATGCTGCACTTAGTGCAGCAGTACAGAGACCACTGTCGGATGCTGGATGCTTTCGTTCTCGAGCGCAAACATCGCGCCGCAAAGACCAAAATCGAGCATCTGTCCGGAAAGGGACACAATTCGGTGGTGTCCGTGCTGCACTCCCTTTGGAGTCTGCAGATTTCCGAAATCCGCGAAGCTCAACCCTTCGGTTTCAGTTGCGACGGAAATCGCTTGGATTCTGGGCCCTACAAGATTGAGCTTGGCCAAGTCGTTTGGTTTCCTTTGCACCGCAAAGCAGGTTTGGTGGAAGAAATTTGGCTGGAAAAGCAAATCATCTGGATCTCGGTCAAAGCGTTCATGGAAGTCAAGACAGAGCCTGGGTGTTTAGTGTTTGCAGAACCACTGCAAAGAATGCGAGCCTGCCTGCAGCAGCACCAATTCTTGCTGCCGCCTTGCTGGATGCTGGAAGGAAACTCTTTGACGATGTTGTTCTGACTCTGCAGTGGTCGCCGCAGCGAGCGGTCTGAGGAAAAGACTGCAGCCAGTCCGGGGATGCATACTGCATGCACTCATGCGATGCTGCTGCCCTTAAGTCTCTATATGAGCTGGAAGCCTTGCACTCCCATGAGCCGGAAGGTTTGCATCTCTTTTTAAAGCAGTTGATATTTGCCGGACGTCTTGCGTGAGTAAATAGTCGCAGAAAGCTTGCGAGTAACTCGGAAAGTTTGCGCCTTTGTGCCTTTGTCTGCCATGGTGTGTCTTTGCGTCTCGATTCTTGTTGTTTCTCCGTTTCGTTATTTTAAACCTGTATAAGCTAACTTTTTCTAACTTATGTTAATTTATGTTATCTTTTTAGCTAACTTATTTAACCTCTTAGTATCATGTATATCTTAACTTAAGCCACACGCACTATCTTAGTATGCTCCCAGGACCAGCCCGGGCCGTCTTGAAGGTCCGAGGAGGCAGGGGCGAGGAGGCCAAAACGCTGGATGGTATCGAAAAGGCCTTGCTCGCCCGCTCCTTCCTCGCCATTACCAAGAGCATCTCCTATATATGCATGGTCGTCATCGGCCCAAAGAAGATCAGCGTTAGCATCGAGACCCAGGACCAAAGTGAGGGCCCGTGGGAGCTGGCACAGCTGAGATTGCAGTGAGGACCAAAAGTGATGGATTTCGGGCACTGGTCTGTCGGCGTGTGGAGCATGCGCCGCGACAACGGCCAAAGGGAGGTCCGCCCTTTTACAGACTATGACTAAAAGTCTTGGGTCAGCACAGGCAATCCGCCAGTCATCCAGGCGGAGGGGGGGGTTAACTAGCTGGGGCCTAACCCAAATCTCGCAACCATAGCTACCTTTTTGGGCACCGGAGCGCCAAGTGAGGAGACCAGCTGTGTCCCATCGGCCTCCTTTGCGCGCGTCTCCTGAAGGCAGACCACATCGAGGCCCAGTTGGGCGACTTGAGAGTATAAGTATTGACGCCTCTGGCCGTGACCCGACGGGTTAAAGAAGGAGGCACAAGAATCTCGCATTGTTTGAACATTAGCCGTAACAATGCGAAGGGATAGCGAGGGTCCTAGCGACAACGGTCGCTGGGGCTCTAGCGACGGAGCAGCACAGGGCACCTCGGTGGGAGGGCACTGGACCTCGGACCCTCGACCGGCTGGCGCCTGGGGGAGTGACTGTGCGGTGAGGCGAACACAGGGTCTGCCTTGGATCACCTTGGCATGTGGAATGAGCCAGAGCCAAGGCGCCGCTTCCTGCAGCAGAGCGGGGAGGGCAGCATCGACATGTTTCCAGGGATGCCACAAAGTGCGGCCGGCCCAGCCAGCGAGAAAGTCGGCGATCGTATTAGGGAGAATGCCGACATGACTGTGCACGTGTTGAAAGCGAGTGGACATTCGGGACTGGACAGCTTGCCAGATATAGCGAGTAAGGGTGGTGACTGGCTCACTGGCCTGCGCTTGCCCAGCCGCGATCTGGAGCGCAGAGGCATTGTCAACCGCAATATTGACCTTGCCCATCAGTGGCGATGAGAACCTGATCGGGTACACCGCCAGACCAGAGTGGGAAGCTAGAGAAAGCCTGGCGATAAGGCGCTGGAGCGGATGCCGGGAGATTCGGGAATAGGTCGTGCGCCCACCACAGCTGGTGCAAGGAGGCTTGAGCGGCGCACTCATGATGGATATCTGCCGCCCAGGAGATTCCATCCGGGCTGTGCCAATCTGGCGCCCCCCATGCACGAAGATAGCAACTGGTGCGGGAGAGCAGCCCGAAATCCACTCCATTGGGCGATGGACCTGGGGTCCGAGCAAGGACATCAATAGGGACCGGCGGGAAACCAAGGTCCATCTGACCCGGAAACAGCTCGGGCAGCCCAGTCAGAAGAACCCAAGCACTGAGAAGAAAGAACCAGTGCCGACCCAGGCGCCCGCGAACGACCAGGCTGGCAAGCAACGGAAGCAAAGTGCGGGAGGGAGCGCTGCCCAGAGGGGAGCCGCTGTCACCATCCCGCAGGAGTCCATCCGCGCCATGGCGAGGCACCACGCGAACGCTTAGGGGGGGTTGGGCAGACAAGACATGGGCCCAACGCAGATTAGGGCTTTCTGGGACAAGATGAAGCCCAAGGTCGTCAACACGGGCTGCTGGAATCCAGCGGCCAACACTAAACCGGACCAGAGAAGGGCGGAAAGTGCAATGTTCAGGATCCCACTGTTCATCACTGGTGGTGGGGACAGTAAGCGGGACTGGATCACCCGGGGTCCATGCAAAGAGAAGTCCAGGCTGCCTGATGCGAAAGGGGCTGCCCCAAAAGGCCAGCTGACGAGCCTGGAGAAGAGTTTCCCAGAACCGCCCGACGGGCGAGCGGAGGCGCGGGGCCCACGTGGCGCTGGCCAGAGTCAGGACATCACCAGACCGGAGGAATAAGGTGGGGTTACAGGTCGTAGCAGTACCGCACCAAGCCTCTGGGGGAGCCAAGACGTATGACAGGTCAGGAATAGAGCGTCTGCTGGCTCGTGCAAGATCAGCCACAGCACAGGTAGCGGGCAGAAGTGCAGCCCTAGTGGCAGGCGGGCACTGGATCAGAACAGTGGCAAACAGCGGAGCCGAAGGTACCGGGACCCAGTCAATGAACCGGTGGTCCTGAGGTGGACGAACCCGGGTGAAATCGGACCAAGCTGGTGCGGCCTCCTGTAGAGCAGGTGGGGCAAACAAAGATGGGTTCGGCAGCTGATCCGTCGCAGCTTGACGCTGCCAGAGACCACTGTCGGCTGCCGCCCTCATGGGGAAGACGCGCCCCCGACACCGGAGGGAGAGCGATCAGCCAAGCAAGCAGGAGAAGGTAGCCCGGGGCCGAGGAGGCAAAGCCGAGTGCCCACCAAGCCGCAAGCCCCAGAGAGCAGGTGAGCCAACAGGGAGGGAGGAGCCCTGGACAGCCGGAAACAACATCGCCGCTGCGAAGGGTCGTCCCTTGGCGCAGTTCCTGGTGTGGAACACCAAGGACACGTGGCTGAGAGGAGATAGATGGGAGCTCAGTCCAGAGTTGCCAGGCATCGGTAACGGCTGTGACAAGGGCACACCAGCAATGGCCGTCTGCTTCCACAATGACATTGACCCGCGAGGGGTCCTCCGGCAGCAAAACCAAGTGGGCGTGATCCTGGGCGATCCAAGGAACCGGAACCCAACGCCCAGGATAATGGAGGCTAAAGTCACCGTCAAAAGTATAGTCAAGAGCGCGCCAGCGGCTGCCTGCCGGCGCGTGTCCCCGGATGGCTCGAACAGCGGGCCGCCAGAGTATGAAGCTGACGCGTGTGGAGACCGAAAAGTCAACAGCCCAGATGGCGCAATGCCGCACTTGAGCGTCGGAGTGAAAGCACGGGGGTTGGTATTCGGGCACAAAAGCCGCAGGAGGGAGTGCGACAACCAGGTCTCCAGAGCGCCAGCGCACTTCTTGGTCAGATGTGGCATCTGCTGTGAGAGAACTGGGTGCTCGAACAGAGAGAGTTTGCATGGGCTGTAAGAAGCGGAGAGCCGCGCTCAACCAGGACACAGAAGTAGTGCAAGGCACTAGGATGGAGAAGTGCCGATCTAAGGAGGAGACCGCTAAGCAGACAAGGTCAGGTATCGGGGGGCGGGGAACAACCAGTAGGGCCGGTATGGCAGCTGTCGGCCACACAGGTGCAACTTCAGCACCCCAATTTGGGTCGCAGGAGCGTGTCAGAGCATTGAGCTCTCCGGTAGTCGAGGCAGTGGGCAGTCGCCCAGCCTCCTGGGGACCTGTGAAGGGACTAAGGAGGACAATATCAATCTCTGTGCGGTTGGTGAGATCAACCAGATCGGCCTCAGCGGCTGGGGCCCGCCACGGGAAGAAACCCACACGTATGGGCTGCTCCGGCAAATCTGGAGCGGGAACCATGCCCTGTCCGGCACCAACCAAACAAGCAAGGGCGAGAAGCCAGGCCCAGCTGCCATAAATGGCCGCAGCAACAGAAGGCGAGGGCCCCCAACGTGGGCGCACAACTGGGCCCGGGGCCGGACCCGCAAAGCTGTGCAGGGGCGGTCCGGTAGGGTCCCAAACCGTATCAGCAGTCGGGTCCAGCACAAGAACATCCCCATCTCGGAGGGGGCTGTCGCTCCAGATCGGGGGGCATTAAGAGGAGGACATGGGCCTCACCAGTGGAGGTGCTGTGCACCAGGTGCAGACTGGATAAATCCCCAGAGAGAACAGGGACCCATGACCCTGACAGCGCTCTGCCATTTAGACTCCAGAAAGTGGGACCCTCGGGATCCCAATAGCCGGTATCCCTGATCCGGATGCTATGACCAGATCGACGGCCAGTATACCACAGGCAGACGTAGCCGCCCGAGTCAAATCGAAAGGGGAGCGACCAGCTGGCAACTTGCCGCGCCCGTTCCAGGGAGGCATATTGCAGCAAGGGATAACGGGTAGCACCCGGGTCGGAAGGCTCGGGAAGGAGGCTAAAAGCATCTCCGTTGCGGAGCCTGATATGCACATTCGGGATAGTAGTGCGCAGCACAGGTGGCGCTATGACTCTCCAAAACCGGGTGTGAGGAAAGACGCGAACAGCAAGCCGGTGAATGTCATCAAGAGACGAGTCAACCGAGCAAAGGCGACGGCCGAACAGCCCTCAATGTGCAGGGCCACAGTGGCGAGACCGTATGGGGCAACCGGGGCGACTGTGATCTGGGAGCACCGCCCGGACAGGGAAGAAGCGATGGGCCCAAAGCCCGCAGTGGCGAGTACCTTCCTGTTCGATAGACCTCCATGATCTGGTCGTGTCGAGGAAGCTGGTCTCGCTCCATCCCCGCAGGGGGCACAAAACACGAGCCGTGAGTGGTCGTGGACCAGGGAAGCAACGTGCTAGGGGGCCATCGGGGTTATCGGGCTGCCAACCACCTAGCGGTACATAAGGCTCCCCGTCGTTAAAATCAATGGCAGGGGGAAAGAACCTCCCAGGCCAGGGATGGGAGGGTGAGCGACTTCTGCTGGGCCGTCGCCGAGTGCGGATGGTACGCGCCTCGGAAGAGTCCGCGCTGGGGCAGCGGCCAGAGGCACTCGAGGACGCTCCCCACGCCGGTTCAAGAAGCCCGAAGAAGATAAGGGCAAGTTGGGCAGGGAGGAGAGGAAGGCCGAAGGCAGCAGAAAGAACCCACCAGTCTCCGTCCCTGGTCTGAGCAACCTGACAAGCCCGGCTGGCAGCAGGTCGAAGGGAATACCCGGCAATATAGAAATCATGCGCAGCGTCCCGAGCGGTCTCAACACACCTTGTGGCCCCACTAGACTGAATAATGTTGGCATGCCCCGAAAAAAAGACTGCTCAACGAGCCAGGGGGGAGCACCTAGGTGGCCATGGCAGGGGGCCCAGCGGTGATGGCCAAGCTCCACCTCATGATGCAGAACCGTGGCTGCCGCTGCGTCCCATTTGGCCTGATGGCCCAGCAACACGACCCTAGCGGAGCGGCTAGGGGACCACAGTAACACACAGGAGGCTTGGGCCACCACAAAATCAGAGTGCCAGGCCGAGGCAGCATGGGCCGCACCCCATGTCAGGTAGACCGGGGGCTCGCGAGGCCCTGCGAGAGGGTCAAGTTGCAAAGGGCAGACAGCTAGAACGTCTCCAGAACGGAGTGCGAGGACCGGCCGAGCGGAGTGAACGGTGGCCCCCAGTCCAGGCTGGAGTTTAAGGCTCACACGACGGCCAAGCCTCATCTGGAGGGCCTGAGTGAGGTCTCTAGGGGTAAGGAAGGACGGCAGGATGACACAGAGCATCTGTCCTAAACCCAAGACAATAAGGCAAACCAGCCTACTTCCCGGGAGAGGGACTACAACCTGGGACCCTTCTAGAACCAGGCCAGTGGCAGCAAATCCCCGATGCCACGATGTCAAAGTGCGGTGGGCGTCTGCCATAACATCGTCAAAGAGGTGACGCGGGTCAGCCTCAACACGGTGCCATGGCGCAAAAGGGTTGGCCACAGTGACCGAGACCCTGGGTGGAGCAGCTTGTGGAATAGCAGAGGATGAGGTCAGGCTCAACACCGAAGTTTCCGGAACCATAGCTTGCGAGCCAGGGAGGCACCAGGTCATCATGAGGAGACGAGAAAGCAGGCCGGAATGGGCCCCAAAGGAACCCAGCAGGAGCGAAAGAAAGGTTCCCATTCGACAGGAGGAGAGAGCCGGGGCTAGGCCCAGGACCAGACCCCACAGAAGTGGGCGGCCGCCGCAGGCCCCCCGGGCAAAGTCGCCGAACACGACATCCCCGTTCCGAAGCTCACATGCCTGATTGAGAGCGTAGGAGGGGACTCCCCCCACTTGCAGGGATCCAGGGAGGAAGTGCAGCTGATCGGCAAGGCTATCGCGCGAGGCGATCCGATCGACGGTACGGCAGAGGCGGCCTTCAGGAGAGGCAGCAACCACGTTAACCTGAGCCGCGACACCGTGGACCTCGATCAGTTGTAAAGCCCGGGCACTGGACCACTGGACGGGTGTCCACATACCGGGAAAGTGGTTACGAAAAGTGCCGGTGAACGTAAAGGATTCTGGGCACCAGGCTTCTCCAGCGGAAACAGAGGCCAACAGGGGTGGGCGATTAGGGCGAAGCAGGTGCACAGCAATGCCGAACATAAGTTGAAAGCCCGTAGCCCAGGGAGCGTGGTGAGCTGCAAGACCATCCTGAAGGTGCCAAGGATCGACAAACTCGAGCGGCTCAGAAGGGTCCTCCGGAGGGTCATGGATGTACACAACATCTCCGTTACGAAAACGGAAAGCCGCAGGCGGAACATCAAAGAGCTCGCAGATCGCGAGCCCGTGCGGCAGGGAAATGCCACCAACGGGGCTGCTGATGTGACGCGAGATAAAGTCTGTCAACCACGCCACTGTCATGGTCCGCGGAGTGAGCGTGGCCCGATGGTGACCCCGCCACATCAGCATAATGGTCACAAGGGCCTCATCTTGTCCCACCGGGACCATGGACAACTCGTTGAAGGCGGGGCCCGGCCACACAGGGAAGAAGTCAGATGCCCATCCCGGGTCGTCGTTGAGGAACTGGGCCCAGACTTGACCGTGGCGAGTGTCATGGGAGGCTGTGTATGGGGGAAACACCCCCAAGAAAGGACTGTGCAGGACAACGTAGACCGGGTCCTCTGCTGTAATGGCGGAGAAGTCCCGGTTGATTGGATCAGTACCCCAAGGGAAGCCACCTGGTCTATGCATGCCCTGTGCTAGAGCGACGCCAGCAAGGAGCCCAAGAGAGAGGCGCATTGGTGGGGCAACCCGACAAAAAATCAGTGAGAAGCAGCCCCAAGACAGAAAAGGGCGACCTTGTGAGGAGAAGGGGATGTCGGGGCTGCCGGCAGCAGGTCCGGCTTCGCCAGTCGGTGCAGCAAGGGCGGCGGCTTGGGCCGGCGGGGGAGGAGACCGTGACTGAGGACGAGGTCTCACAGCCAGACAGTCGCCATTACGAAATTGGACGACCGAGGACCCTTCCTGAACCTCACGGGGACGAAGGTCGTACTCACTCCCGTCAAGCTGCAGAGCACGTAATGCCGCGGTCCCAACACAGACCGGGAGACAGCAGGGCACAAGGCGGCCTTCCAGCACAATACCGACAGCGGCGTTCCCAGGCGCCTGTGGACACCCGATGAGGTGTACAGCGGTAGCATCAGGCTGCGGTTGCAGGAGCACAATATCGGCCCAACCCCGGCTGCGGGCGTGTCCCCTGAATAGTACAAAAGGATTGATCTCAGGGCCAGCAGAATACTCGACAAGCTCGCACTGTTGTCGGGCGGTGAAGGGATTGTGAATGCAGAAAGGGGTGCCAAGTGGAATAGCGGCAGCAAAGGGTCGCAGGCCACGTTGAAGACCAAGCAAGTCAGCCTGAACGCGGCGGACAGTGTCCTCGTCCGCGGCGGGCTCCCTTTCAATTGAAGACGGCCAGAGGCCTAGGGCGTCAGCGGCCGAGCGGCGCGGAGGTACCACATACGAGGCTGGAAAGGAGCATTGACAGGCTCCGGTGGTGGTGGGCCAGCAGGTCGAGAGACCGGGCTGGGCTCCGCAGCAGACATGTTGAAGGCTTGGACAGGTGGTGGACTTTCATCCTCGGACTGTTCGTCATCCGAACTAGCAGGCGGCACACTGATGATGGAACCTGCACCTAAGGTTGCCAGGACAAGGAGGCGCCCGAATGCTGAAGCTCCAGAGTAACCCCGAGCCCATACTAAGGTCAGAACAACCACCGAAAGCCTATCCTGTCGCCGACAGCTCGAAACACTCGCAATATCGAGCAGATCAACAGTTGAGGGGTTAACCGCAGCGCAGGTACTTTGCGAGGCTAGTCGCAGAACAGGTTGCGATTCCCCGGCTGGTTCGGCATCGGGTTCAGCAAGTCCGGCCCAGAGTCGTGAAGTGTGAAAAGAAAGCTCCTGAGACAGCATGTGAACTCGGGAAACCGTAGCATGATCAAGGCCAGTGCCATTGCCTGAGAGGTCCGTTTGGACTTCCTGATCAACCAGAGGGGCATGCGATGCGCCGGCAGCACGTCGGTTCCCATGCCCATCGAGGAGTATGGCCGGTTCTAGCGCCGGACCCCTACTAGGAACGTGCCGGAAGTAAGGTCCCTCAACCACCAGCGGATCCGGGTTCCAAGGGTCGTCATCGCCCGGGATCCTCGCAAGAGCACCAATCAAAATCTGAATGACGGCTCCGGATGGAAAATCAGGCAAGGCAGCCCCTGGCGGGTACAACTGACCGGCGTAGGAGAGAGCGGGGCTCCGCTCTGGTAAATGGCCCCCCGGGAAGAGAGCTCTGAGATGGGCAGAGACGACATCCCAACTGAAAGGCGAATGCCCGAAAGTAACAGCCGCAGCGTCCCCCCAGTGGAGCAGCCAAAACCGGACCGTGGGTCGAGTGGCAGGAACGACCGGCACGAACAGGACATGCTGGACGGAGCTGTCCGTAGTGGAATGTGTGGGCCGAAACTCGCCGGGATCGTCAATATGGTGTAGACGGCACATCAGCTCTCTCAACCACCGGGTCGGGTAACCCTGAGGGCGCCACGGCAAGTCAACAGGTGCGTTAATGTTGAGAGTCCAGATGCGAATGGTTGTCGGAGGAGGCGGCGGAGCCTCGGCGACTGGGGCAAGAGCAAGGAGTTGAGGAGGTTGCATAGAGGCCACGTGGCGGCAAAGCATGAGCAACGCTAGACTGCCGAGAAGCGAGGGGGGCCGGGCCCGGGCTGCAACAATCTGAAGAACTCCATCAATAAGTCTACCCTCTAATCCCGGAAGAGCTCTAGTAATAAGCGCCCGGGCCCCTTGCGGGCAGGGAGACATATGGCGGACTTCGGCAGAGGGCTCAACGTTATGGACAACCCCATCCGGCTCCACAGCGCAGAAGAAAAAGGAGCATTGGGAGGTGTAGTGCTGGACCACCGGTCGGAGAAGCTCACAACCAATTGAGTCACGCAGGATCCACCAGCCATATGGTGAAGGCGGGGAGACGAGGAGATCGAGCACTTGGGGGCTGGAATCGAAAGCCACGTGCAATCCGTATTCGCAGTCTGGCAAGAAGGCTCCGAGGTAAGCACTAAGATGCTGGTCGAGGTGGCGTGCACCAACCCTCAGGTGGACGGGGCCCTGCCCAGGAAGCCAAAGGTGCATCTGCACTTCTGAGTGGGGTGAGGCGCCAGTAACATACGCGCCGAGTTGAGGTGCAGAAAGGGCGAACCCGTGCGTCTGTCGGGCAAGCTCGTGAGTCCAAGACAT